CCATATATTTGAGCATAATTCTTTTGTTTTCTCTCATAATGGTGTCTACACCGATGCGGGTCGTTTTCCTCGATCTGAGTTAATAAATGGAAATCCAAATTAATCGCGTTCGGGTTTGCAGTGAGTTCGTCCGCATTACTTACTATTCATAACATTAGGATGTCGCCAATTCGGCGCAAATGGCAATATAACTTCTTACCGGGACTGCGCATCTCTGGTTCACATTATTAAAAGTACCATAAGAAAATGTTCAGACAGAGATGAATTTTGCTGCCCGTCAAACAAGACGTATCGGATGTTTTCGAGGAGTTTGACCACAGAAAATATTCCCCATGATTTATTTAGGGTGGTACACGTAAGCTACTGCAAGTCCATGCGATGAGAACAAATAACAGTTCCCATACCCAAGACGGACTATCAATTCTGAAGTGTTAAAATTAGCTGAAGAAGAGAGCTCAAAACTACTATTAGGCCGCGATACGAGGCCGTATATCTTTAAGTTTCGTAGCACACATAAGGGAACTACCTGAATTTTTAAAATGTTCCTTAGAAATTTAGTAACAAATAATGACTTGTTCCCATTTCAAAAAGTTTCACGTTTCACGGAAAAGACGCTTTTACTACAATAAATATGTGTTACCATATGTCCTAGATTCTCTGTTTTATTCTCCCACCTATTGGCTATAGGTGGGTTCTTGGAGATGGTGTTTTGCGGATTAAATTGATGGATCTACTTACAGCCCCCAAATCAGTTCTTGAGTTGGCAAAATGCAAGTGTAAGCAAAATAGACGTCAAAATAATTTATGCATGTGTGCCAAAAACAACCAAAATTGCACATATTTTTGTTGTTTAGACTGCAAAAACCACAGTGCACTTATAAAAGAGAAAAGTCGGTTTTCGAGAATGTGAATTTCGTAAGCAATTCAGAAGAAAGTGAATTAGATATTGAAGTTGATTTGATAAATAATATTTGGACCTGCTGAAGTATGCGCACCAAAATGGCGCATAACCTGAACTCAGGTTGTGTACCAGGTTAGGGTTCTGGTTATGCGTCATCTTGGTGCGCATACTTCAGGAGTACCTATTATTTATTAGTTCTTTTTTAGACATCTGTTAGTGTCGAAAGTCCTGTTTCTATAATAATATTGCCTTTGTTTCAAATACACAACCACATAAACTGAAAAAAAGTCTAATTGTAGTATTGGAACACATATAAATGGACACACCTGGAAACCCCCAGTATCAATTTCTGAGATAGACCTTACCAACCAATATTAATAATGTATTTCTGTAATTTTTATCCTACAATTTTTAACTAAATACTGATCTTTATTATTTGCAGCCATATCTTGTTTTATCTGAAGAAGTTTGACTATGATCTAACGAAAGCTCATAAATATACTTGATATTTCGTGGAAAGAGATGTTATTATTATGGTATTTTTATTTTATGTAATATTTCTGTTCATTTTATTATGTACTTACTGTATTCATTTAGTTTTCTTGATTTTTCCGGTAAATTTCTACGTGGGAAATAACTCATTTATTCGTGTTTTTGTGCTCACGATGTTCATTTATGACTTCATTGCTTAAAAATAAATATGCTTGATAGTTTCTATAAAATATATGCAACTTCTTATGCTGTTTTTTGTTGTACACTGCTTGTCTGAGGAGGTCTGATTTTGGTCAGACAAAACGTTACACAAATACATTTTGTTTACGTTTACATTGTGTTAGTGTGCAGCAGGGCTCTTGAATCACAGAGTTCTTATGCTGTGTTGTTGTAAACCTATGGGTATTGATTTTCTGGGAACCCCCCATATTCAATTTCGCATCAGGATTGTGGAACAAGCTGTTATGCGTTCAGTATGTTCATTTTCATACAAAACTAAAGAATTTATTTAGTTACCAGATGTGCGATACGAAATTCATTTTCTGAGCGTTTTACAAAGCCTCGTCTCACGGCCTATTCCAGTGGTGGGATTCATTTTTTTGTCAGCCGGTTTCATCACAAAATAAGTATTTTTCACCCGGTTCTGTTACAGTAACCAATAATGCGAACCGGTTCACTGATCTCATAAATTTCCGTGAGACGGGTATATAGAAGCGGTGCGAACCGGCTGAATCCCACCACTGCCTATATCCATGGTAAGGATCTACATATGTTTAATAACTTACTTATACTTTTTAACGCCGTCTTAGCATAACTTAACTAATAAAACTAAACGGACGATGGAAAGGCTACAAACTGAGATTCATTAGCCCGTGAACAGCTGATCAAATTTATTGTGACGTCATACAGAAGTCTGAGTCCAAAGTAGAGAATAGGACGCATTGTAGCGCATATTTCTTGTAGTAAAATCGTCTTTTTCGTAAAACTTTCAACTTTTGGAAATGGGAACAAGGTATTATTTATTACCAAATTTGTGAGGAACATTTTAGAATTATTTTCCTTATGTGCGCTACGAAACTCATTTTCTAGGCGTTTTTCAGGCCCTCGTTTCGCGGCCTATATTCAACATCGTCCACAAGTTTTATCTATTATAGATGAAATAAAGCAGTGGTTCCTACCCACAAAGATATATAAATATACAGTGTGCTTCTCTCTCGTTTTGTCGATATGCTTCCAACTTTTCCAATGCGCGCAATGCATTTCTTATGGGATTTGACAGATATTATTTGCGTCGATTTTTTTTGCATATTCGCATGTTCTTGATTCGTTTCTCATTATATATCAAACGCTAATATACCCCAGCCCACCATACGGTCTAATTTTGGCAGTTATATGAATATGCGTAAGTCGTGGTTATAATAAAATGGCCAACGTATCCGTCAAAAGCGAACAAAAACGACCACAGAACATCAGCCAAGATGGTCGGAATAAAGTTATGGTCTAACCCCAACCTGGTTCACAGACTACGGCAGTATCAACTAAACTTCTCTTCGTCCTATACTGAAGACTTATGTGAAATCTTCCCCGTGGAGGCATTGCATTTTTATGATACCAGGCAAAAATAATTGTTTTCACGTATATCTATTGTGCTGTAGCAAGTACATAAGGATAGTTACTGTGTATTTTAATATTTTCACCACCCATTGTTAGTAGTGCATGTTATTTGCCTGAAACAAGGTCGTTGTCCCAATTCATTTCCTTTATGTTCAATAACAGAGTGTAACTCCGATCTCGACTCCTTCAGAGGTCAAAAAGCACACAATGTATTGAGTGCCAATTGTTATATTGTAAAGTTGCACAATCGAATTGATCCAAATAACGAATTACAATTGAAACCTTAACCCTTTCCATGCGATTTTTATTTTTTATTAAATAATCGTATTTGCTACGCCGACTTTATGCATTTGTACGCCCACAACTAATCGATCGACTAACGAAAAAGTAATGATCCTCTGCTGCCCACTGACGGCTCGTTGGAAAGCTTATTTTAAGAGCTTGCAATTGGCGATTGAAAAATTTTTTTTTTTTCAAAAGGGGTGGTCTGAGTCACAAACAGGATAGAAAAAAGGCATTTTTTTTCTTGGGTGTTGAAACTTCAAGCCGTGATAAAAAATAGAAATATTCGCTAAATCCTTTACTGTTACCGCTTCTTGGTTGGCAAACAATAGCATGATATTACTGTAGCAATTTCGTTATCTAACTCAAAATACTTTGGTAGATGGAAGGGATAATATGTCTTCTATTACCACCCAAAAAACACCGAAATTTGCATATATCAAAAACACTCCCTCGTTCCGCCGCAAATAAAACTCCCATGGTAAACGAAAGCGAGATTTACCGTCGCTTATGTTAATCTCGAAGAAGGCTTCTTATCAATAAACTAAAACCCGGAAAAACTAGACCAACAGTTTGCGACCGATTGCTAAATAAAACAGTGGAGTACATCAACGTACCCGCCGCAAACTAGCGAGTTTTGTCGTGGGTACGTATACGTGCCCACCGCACGGAAAGGGTTAAAGCAAGTATATGTGATGAAACCAAATTTCTAACTAACAAAGAACGGCAAAGACAAGCTACACTGAGTGAGAGAAATATATCATAAAGGAAATGAATTGGGACAACCAGGCAAATAACATGCACTACTAACAATAAGTGGTGAAAATATTACAATACACAGTAACTATCCTTATGTACTTGCTACAGTGCAATCGCCTGAACAACCAAATTTTTTCAAGAACGAGATCCACATTGAGCTCTAAAAATACAACTCGAATACAATTGTATTTGAATACCCACAAAGTGTCGCATATACATCCATATGCGGCGCACTGGGTGGTAAAATAGACGAAAACTGGCCAAAACCATATGCAACACGAAGAAACTCTGGAAGCATAAATGCCAAGATGGCGGCGATCAAATGATCCCGCGGCGAGACAACGCAAAACAAGAGAGAAGATCGTTCCATATATTTTCAGTTCAGTGTTCCTACCTTTTATGGCTCATGGCGCCCCCTTCCGGAGGCTTTTGACGCGCATGGCCCACAATTCACGCTCAACACCTTCTGAAATACCGGTACCTTATAAATGAAAGTAAATAGAACGGGTAAAGAACGCTTCAACACCCTCCAACTGCCCTTTTGGGCTGGGAACCGCTGAATTGAAGGGCAATTTGGTGATCGTTACGGTACGTCTGAAGCCAAATGCGCCCCATACTCCAGTAGTACGATACCGTACTCTTATGACGTTGAACGGCTGCCAGAAGTGCCAGTGATAAACGTTCGCATGATCAGATAAGCAGAAATTTTATTTTAAACTTATGCCAAGTGGACAAATGTTTATTAGTTGAAGGTAGCCTAACGTTATAAATTATCATACGTTAATTCTATTTTACCAGATGTCAACAAGTGTTACACTTGAGTTCAGTGGTGGTGCTGAATTACTGTTTGGTCACAATAAAAAACACAAAATAGAATTACCTGGAGTATACTGTTGGACTATCAAATCTCTCTTACTTTGGATTAAAGACAATCTTTTACAAGACAGGCCAGAATTATTTCTTCAAGGTGAAACAATACGACCTGGTATTCTGATTCTTATTAATGACGCAGATTGGGAATTGACTGGAGGCCTTGATTATACATTAGAATCTAACGATAAAATAGTGTTTATATCAACTTTGCATGGTGGTTGAAAAACAATGGCTCGATTATGCTTCCGTGGTATTAAAAGCATCATGTCCCATAGTGATCATATCACACCTCCTTTAGTTTACTGTGGACATAACACTGTTTTTTCAAAGAAAGAATGTTTTTCTAATAGTCAAACAAAAACTGCTGAAGTAGTTGATGTTACAGAACTTGCAGATAAAATACAAATGAAAATGAGTCATTCTTATCATCCCATACCATTGCAAAATATTGCACGAATTCTACAGACCTTTTATGATTTGAAGAGTTTTGGAAAACCTGAACTTGCAAAGGGTGCAGCTTATAATCGGGACACAGATAGGAATATCCCAGATAATCTAACAGGCAGTAGTATGCCTATGAGAAAAGATACCGGAATTGATCGACTGCTAAGACATTTTGTTCAAATTGAGAACAGTTTGATCAAAAATGTTCAGTTATCATCTGATGAAGCAAAATCATTGAATACTTCTAATGTTATAGATTTGTTACATGGGAGTCTAGGATTTGGCACAAATGTGATTGTTCGGTTTATGAAAATGCATCCAGAGATTTTTGGAATTAATGTGCAGGAGTTGGAAAAGAGGATTGATAATTTGAGATCGCATGGTCTTAGAGAAGGATTCCTGCAAAGGAGCATCTCGCATACACCCCAATATTTAACAATGCCTATTTCCAAGATAATTTCCATGATTAACTTGCTAATTCATGATTTGGACTTCACAGTGAAGGAGTTACCGGAACTCTTCCTATTTGCGCCACAAATATTTCTTGATCCATTCAAAGACACTGAAGAAAAGTTTCAATATATATATTTCACTATGGGGTACAAAAAACATTACGTTTTAGCAAGGCATGGAATTCTAAGATACAGCCTCAAACATATTAAAGAAAGACACTTGTTTCTTGAACGCAGAGGACAGTTTCAACTGACAGATAAGAATCGTAAAACGACTATCGAAAATCCAAACTTGAAATACATGATTTGCCACTCAGACTTGAAGTTCTGCAGTGAAGTTGCACTTTGTCCGCTCGACGAGTTCATTATATTTAAAGAAATGTTGGCATTGGAAGACACACTACGTAAAAAGTCAAATGCTCAGGATTTCAGCAGTAATAAAGATTTTGCTGATAAATTAATTGCAGAGATGACCAAATGATTTTCAATCAGGTTTTGTTTTCCGCTTTTTGTTCTAATGCAATTGTAGTACTTGCAAGGGTGATCTTGATACAGTTGGTCCAAATGCAATATGGAATGGAAAAAAAATTGATACTTTTGAACCCTTTAATGTGAGTTGCACATGATTGCCAGACACTGTCTCCACTTGTTTCAACTAAGACTGACTAGTGTCAATTCTCTAGATGACGATCATTCCCGAAATATGTATCATGTTCATACAACCACTTAACACAGTATGTTCAGCAAAATAAACATGAATATTAATATCATTGTTTGTCTTTTATTGAATAAGTTCAGGTGTGAGGCTGTCCACTTAATGTACCTTATACTGGCATATATCTTATTTAAGTAGCGGGACTATAAACTGTAACAGACGAGGTGATAATTGAATGATATGCGGTTGTTAATTTAAAGAATATCTGAAACATCTGATATAATTGAATTTGTGTTGTTGATATGCGACTTGGCAACATTGTACTAAAACTTCAGTAATACAGAATTTTATGAATTAATCTTTCAAGCTGATTTTCAACATTCGAATTTCATGATTACCGGGCATACCAGAACTCGCAATATCGTGTCCATCGCCACCAAACGAATGCAAATCAATTTCTGCACAGTTTAAATTCCAGAGATGAAGCAAGTCACCAATAGAAGAATTGGCGTTTCTAACTTGATATGTGCATAAAAAATAAGGTTTGTCTTCATGTGGGCCAATTTTTGACATTTTGCCTTCAAGCAAGTGGCTTACAGTGAATAAAATCTTTTCGTAAACATTTTCATCAAAAAAGCAGTCAGAACCTAAAATCACATCAGGATAAGGCAAAAGCCCTTTTAGCTGCCCATAGAAAAATGTTGGATTGACTTCTCCCCATCTCAGACCTTCTACTTTGATGCAAGGTTTACGATCCACATGGTTTATCTGTAATTCGCAGACATCAATTGAATTAGCTGCGCAGGACATCCTACAATTCTCAATTGATCTGAAAACATTAAAATGTTAATTGCTGTATTATAGATGCAATTTGCATAAAAGTCAGGCTTGCATTATAACTAGTGCTGTCATTTGTTCAAACCTAAAACTTGCTTTGCATCATCGTTAAAAATAATTCAATCAATCCGGATTGTTATGATGTATAAATATATATCTCAACAAAACAGAAATTCATTATATTGGTCAATGTAAGGATGACCTTGATTTTGACCTTTTTTCAATCAAATCAAACTAAGAGATTGGTAAAACTTCCCTCATAGACAGATGAGTTAAACCTCAAGTAGAGAAATTTAATCAGATATTCATGGTACTTAGCATTTACTGACATACCTAGGTTGATGAGTGTCATCTGTCAGTGTCAACGAGGCTACATTTCCAGCTTTAGCTGCAACTACACTCGGCAAAGCAGTTCCAGCACCCAACTCCAACACATGCTTGTTGATCAACAAATGTTTTCTTTTATTCCAAATGTATTGCGCCAACACAGCAGCACATGGCCACGTATACATTCCATAAGCTGCCTCAGTCTTTTCTGGTATATTAACTACGAGAGTTCCCTTTTCATCTTGAAATTGGAATATTCTGTCCGATTCCATAAAACTTCCATCTATGTCATACCGGTACCGTAGGTATCATGCAGATGGCTTTTGTTATTGTCTTGAATTGATATAGTGTACCGGTATAACTTACAGATATCTGGAAAATAAACATATTTTGATATGTAAGCATATTCCAACTGCCAAAATATCGGCATATTCATGCAACGATGGTTGGGATTCGGTTACTTATATGGATGTTTCCCCGACCCTTGACCCGACCTTTGGCCTTTTTTGTTTTGATTTTGATCGCTCAGACCGTAAATATATACTACTACTAGATGCCCAACTCCGCTCGTCGTATAATAAACAGAAAAAAGGCGATGTTGCACCTCCAAGTGGCGAGCGTTACGGTCGGTAGGTTCAAACAAGGTGCTCAACGACGACGACGCTCCTGCATCAGAGCTCGCAAACTCCCCTGTTCGTCGATGACTGATCGAAACATTTGCTGAAGGACGTGGAGAATTTGATAAAAATGAACAAATAATTTTGAAAATGAAGACACAGTCTGTCTTGCAAATTACCAGGATGATGTGACAACTTTCTTGTCGAAAGAAAGCAAGGCATCAAAAATGCGATGCATTGCAAAAACTTTCAGTCAGATGTAGGTAAAGTGGTGACGAAAATGAATACTTGCACTTTATACAAAAAAAAAATAAAATAAACAGCATTCTCCACTTGACCTATAATCAGGGCTGCCATAACGTCCTTATTTCTAAGATTTGTCCTTATTTTTAACAGAGGTCCTCATTTTGACATGTGTCCTTATGAATGAATATATCGGAAAATTATACTTCGAATTTGGTTTAGACCTGGAACTTCATAAGATATAAAATGAGTAAACGTAAAAACATTAACGAAACGAATGGCCATTGTTTTGCGCACTGCAGCTTCGAATGTGACATTAACCTGGAATCCATAGGTAAAGCAGCAATTTCTGCTCACAATGCAACCCAGAAGGCAGAAGCACAAAGACTCTGCTCAAGAAATTGAATCAAACCAAGAGTCAATGATTATACAAGGGTAGCACTGCATAAATACATTCTGTTTATCACATTTCATTCATTGTTATCTTATTACTATGTTTCCCTGTCCTTATTTTGGGGTTCATATCGATGGCAGCACTGCCTATAATACTAAATCTAAAAGAGTAATAACCACCAATCTCACAGTCGAAGAAATCGAAATTTTAGATTACATAGCAAGATATGTTATCAGAAAAATTTATCACATTGAAGGAATTTCAGCTAGTCATAACTCATATTGTTAAAAGAAATTACGCTTACGAAAGTGACAGAAAGAAAAGATTTCACAACAAAACATGCTTATGGGGAACATTGGAATGGCTATCTCAATACATGCAAGCAGCTGAAATTTATTTCTATCGTCACATCATTAAACATCTGACACTTGATAAAGAAGAAAAACATTTTCAAATCATTCATGAGCCAATAGCTAATGAATTAAACAATGTAACTGAATGTCAAGATGTGACAACACTACTCGAAAAGGTATTCAAAAAATTAGAGCAAATGTAGAGGCTAAATACTACAGACAAAATAATAACAACAAGATGGGCAATAGGATTCGTGGAATACAAAAACAATTGAAAAAAAACAGCAGTTAAAATGAAGATTAAGATATATGTGATTACAGTCACGTTTCTATACTCCTGAAGTATGCGTACTAAGAATTGAGGACACCGAAACGTAGTATCTATACCACGTTAGGGTTAGGTCATTTCCAAATTTTCTTATCTCAGTTCTATTATGAGTTCGGGGACTAACCAAGTGAGTTTTATAGTATTTGTACCTAAAATTAGGACCTAAACCTAACCTGGTACACATACGATGGTCCATTGTCCGCATCTTGGTACACGTACTTCTGAAGTACCCAAGTTTTTTTCTCAATAATCCATAGAAATACAAATTACTATTTTAATTATTAATGTGATTAAATATTGAATATCGAGTAATGTTGATGATGGTATTGATGTTTTTTGAGGCTTTGGGAGTGGTTCTCAGTGGGGGTAAAACCTGGTAACCTAACCTGGTACACATACGATGTTCCATTGTCCGCATCTTGGTACACGTACTTCTGAAGTACCCAAGTTTTTTTCTTAATAATCCATAGAAATACAAATTATTATTTTAATTATTAATGTGATTAAACATTGAACATCGAATAATGTTAATGGTGGTATTGATGTTTTTTTGAGGCTTTGGGAGTGGTTCTCAGTGGGGGTAAAGAGTTTGTTGTTTGGTCTAATATGGTATATTTGGAGCCCTTCATACGTCGGAGAAGCAATAAAATGTTGTTTTTATCCTATAACAGAAACATATGAGTACAAAATGAGTTGCATGCAGCTGTATAGCATTTATTTTGTCAAAAAATTCTCGGGCTAATCACCTGTTGGAGACTTCCAGTGTGTAAAATAATTTATGAAATTTTGGCTGATCCACTGCAGTCTTTTGTCTCCAGATGTTTCAATGGGAGTAGATTTCCGTTTTTAAGGTAGGCCACGTTTGCAGTGCTGCTGCTTATGCCAAGAAAGGTATTCTGCAGTTTGCGATACTTGGCAGTTCCCTCAAATTCAGGCATTTCCAAAATCTCAGCAACAGATGCAGGAAGAACCTAGAAAGAAAAATTTCCATGGTTCATCTGTTATTAATGACCTGAATAATGTTGGTAATTTTGAAAATAATAATCATGCTCCAAGTATTTAAATTCTCAATAAGAGATAGATCCAAAAAAAATACCAAGAAATTAATATCTAAAACAATACTTTGTGCTATACCTGTGCTGAATATTTAACAGACATTTTTGTCAAGCTATTGAGTTAAACATGTTGGTCTGTTAGTTTACATGGCTGTTTCAAATGTTTTTTAGGCATATCTTCATAAATTCCCTGTATATGTGTTTCCATGCCAAAACCTCATCTGGTGACAGCAAATCATTCTTCAAAAGTGAGTTTCGAGCAGTCTGCAAAAATTTATATTTTAGTTACGATATTTTGAAATAAATTGCCTACAACAATTGGAGCTTGGGCCTTGTCTACCATCTAAGCATGTATGTTTTATATATATAAGTATAACAGCCCCTTTGACAAAGTGTTATTTGAAACAAAAATGTGAATACATCATAAAACAAATTGGAATTAATAAAATGTAGCGGTTGCAGGAGAAATATTCACGCATTCAATGAATGTGGTGGATTTTGCAGTAGCAAAAAAGTTATTGCTATTTATTACAAATCAATAATTTAAAAACAGTCGACAAAATAATGCAAAATTTTTTTGGAATATCTAAAATTATAAATATATATATGCTGAAGGCATGTTTAGATAACAGCAATGATAGGTATCCAATTTATGTGAATAAGGGTATTAGTACCAGCCTGAAATCAAGCAAAATAGATTCACATGGCAAACGTAAAGCACCTCTTATGTTGTCATATGCAGCTGGTGACTGCGTATACAATGATAGAATGAATGGTAAAAATCCATCATGAAACACTCATTATTTAAAGTTAAAATATGTGTGTTCAATTTATGTTTCCATACCGACCTTACAGTTTCAGGGTGGTCTCGTTCACCACATGTCTTTTTTTGCCGGAAGTTTTACTTCCTCGATCAAAAATTTTCATTGATATGGCTGTATGGTGTAAGTTGATTCTGATTTTTGAGATAAATCATCACATATTAGTCAATTTATATCCTTGCTTACTGCTACACAGCATGAATTCTCACACTGCAACTTTTTTATGATCCTCCCCTTCCTAAAAATATGCATATTAGGTTCAGAGGTTACATAATATCTTGATCTCTTATCAAAATTTACATTCCTTGACAAATCATTACTGTATTGGCTACCTAGGACATTCACAACTTACTATTTTTATGCTGAACAATCGTAGCACAAAGGAATTCTCTACTACATCTACTCATTGGAGCTTTAAAGTGAATTCAAAATCTTCAGATCTTACTGTCATTTGTCAACATGCTTTCAAGTGCTAGGACCGGTTCTAGGGCCTTCCCTCTCAAATGATTGCTCTTCTATTTTGCTTTGTAATCTGTATTCTATAATAAGATCTTTATTAATGTTGATGCACAACTAATTTGAATATTTATAAAGCCACTCACCTAATCTTGTCGTGAGACAACGCCGTCAAAACACAGAAAAACGCATGGTGATTTTGGAAGCAACAATCTGTCTGCGCCTAGTGGGGCGTGACGGCGAAGCCAACATCGGGACAAATATCGGGAGTTACACGGGGTTGCTCAGACAAACTTTGTAAATATTCAGGCTTGTCTAGAGGGATACGTTCCTCGTTTTAAAAGCATCCCAATGGTATTTCATTAGTGATGGCGGTATTTTCGTGCTTCTAAAATTTTAACATATTGTCAAGTGATCTATTATTTATTAACGTTATATTGCCTTCACATTGCCGTTACCGTGCGGTACCTAATTTAGTTCCAAAAGCTTATTTAACATACGAAAATGGAATTACTCAGAGATGACTTTTCTATGACTTGGTTCTCCAAGAACTTTTCTTCCCATCAGCTGGAGGAGGATACAAAACTTCTCACGGAGAGGAGATAGGACTGGATGACGTGCGTGACTACCGGTACTGTTATCTCGTGATAGCGTCCAAGTTGAGACTGATTTTGTGGGTTTAGCATGGAAACAAATAAAGTGTAGAGGCAGTTTAAAAAGTCTTTTAAATACATTTCTGGAAACATGGTACAAAACTGCAATCGGTAATTATAAACTGATGAATATTTTCTTTAGATACGTGATCATGATGGTTCAGTCGTCAATCTTCACTGCTAGAGTTCAAAGCCTATAGATCAGTTCTGGAGTCTTGGCCAGACTCTGAAGCGATTTGTACATGCAAGGCAGGGCACATAAGTTGATGATAGAAACAAAGATCTATAAGCTCAGTAAGATGGGTGCAAATATACTATTGATAGACTAGATTTATTAATGTATTATGATCGATTACAATTACATACAACATAAAATTACAAGACCAATAATGTAGACCTCCTGAAGTATGCGCACCAAGATAGCGCACAACCTGAACTCAGGTTGTGTACCA